GAGAAATATTTGACTACAAGCAAATTGTAATTAAACCAGACTTACCAAGCACAATAGTGTAAAGATATCGATGAGGTCATAAATGCCATTATTCTGTTTTTATTGCAGGGAACCTAACTCATTTAAGCCCTGTGGCTGTAGAAATCTGTTAACAAGAAGCAAAATACTGTAACCATTTGCCAGGGTAATCTGTTTCTCTCAGTGCACGTTTCTGTATATTTGCACATTTGAATTTGTGGATGGGCTGCAGCACATCGCAGTTCTGTCTCCAGCTGAACTTGGTCAGAGATTATATAATTAATACTCGCCTCTTGCATGGAATAGCAATCGGCTGGGCTGTGTTTGTGCTTTCATTTACATCTGATTGTGCCAGAGACGGAGCAAAAAAAAAAAGGGACCATTTACATTTGCAAAGACTTACGACAGGTAAACTGAAACAAGACCCAGGTTTGCTGATAATACCATCCCTTTGAAATCAAGGGCTGAACAGTTCTAGGACATCACACAACGCCATGGAAATGAGGCTATTGTTTAGCGCTCTAGTGGGGCTCCCTTTCTTCTTGTTTTTTTTTTTTCTATCACAGCGTTTAAAGAGGGCTGTGTCTCTAGACTGCTGCAAAACATTTGCATTCGTACTCCCCCCCGACACACATGCGCACCACCTTCTTTTTAGCTGCGATTATTCCAGCACTAGCATTTCAGATCCAGCAAGATCCTAGCTTCTGGTAAATGTATAGATTAGGTACATCGTACAGGTAGATAGATCAGACTCTATTTGTATAAAATGGCATTCAGACAAGATACAGACATATCTGTTATTTCGTTATTATGTATTCTTGCTGTCCTGAGCAAAGCCCCCCTCCATTAATAAAACTCTTTAGAGTTACTTCTTCAGATTTCCTATCCTTTTATACTCTTAGCTGCCGACACAAGAAGTGGCTCCTAATGAAAGACGATCAAGAGTAGGAAGCTGCATTTCCATTTTTGGGAAACGTTGTTAGCAATAATGTGAGACGCTGAGCAATTAGTTGGAGTGTGACATATTAAGCATTTCTGAGAAACGATTAAATATCCCCCATCGTGAAATTCAGCACATTTAGGTTTGTTCTTTCTTTTTTTTTTTCAAGTTAGGGAAAAGTATTGAATTTAATTTTCTGTGGAGGGTATTGCATCTTTTTAACAGATTACTTCAATTTCAGTTTAGTATGATCTATTTCTAAGATTACAATTAAGATTCTACCTTACAAGCCTAAAATGAATTACTCGTGTGTGGTATTTTGGCTGCCCTGATGAAAAATGTAATCATCCAAAGACCCACTTTTTTGATAACTCATAAACAGGCACTTAATTTAATTATTATGGTTATTACGTAGTGTGGTAAAAGCAGTCGTGAGTTACAGACCCAAGGTCTTAATTGTTCAGATGAGAAAGCAGGGCTCCTAAAATGTTAATGATTTCCTTTAAGAGTAACTCCTGTTCTGAATATGGAGAAGCAACCAGATTCAGATGAATGTGTTAGTTACATGCAGAACAAAGCTCTGTGCTGGTCTCCAGAACAGAAATTATAAGGCAAATAGCGGGCCTTGTGTTAAAGAAGCCATTTCTGTAACTATAGCTGTTGTCAAGCCCTCCATTAACTTCAAATGCTGCAGGAAACATTGACTGTGATAGATAATCATGTTCATTGTGCAGTCCAATAAAAGCCCCCTCTTTTACTTAGATTTTATTTACACAGAGTTCCTATTAGCTCTGTGTTGTCCGTGCAACATAATTATGTGTATAGACACACTGTAATTAGAGCAAGCATATGCTGATTGAGCCACAGGTCCTTATAAAACTATACAGCCTGTCTCCAAATCTACTGTCATTCATAGAGCAACTCCATAAATCATGCAGTGCAATAGTGGGGATTTGGAATAGCAATAAGCACAATCTTTGCTTCAGGAAATAAAATATTTGTCAGGAAGGGAATCAGAAGTGTTTTCTCCTTCTGGTTTGTGTGAAGACAATGTTGAAGTCAAGACTGGTTTATTATAGATCAGCTGCAAGGTCGATTGGAATCGTACAGCAAGACTACAGAATTCTTTTGCTGCCTCACTGTGACATTATACAGTTGGGTTCCTCTTGCGAGTTTTAAAACAGAAATTATCTGGGAACACAGGCCTGGAAAATATATAATAATCAAGCAGTCTATAATGCAGTCAAGCAAACAATTAATAAATGATAGAATCCTAAGGAATAACATGAACAATTAATAATAAGGGTCCATTATACATAATGTACATTATCTTAAAGGATTTCAAAGCACATTAGATGAAGGAGGGACCCACTTCAACTAACAGTGAAGTGCTCCACCCGTTCTGAGCCTGTATAGCACATCAGGGAAAGAAGAGAGTAAAATGGCTTCACCATTCGAATTATGGAAGATCTTAACTTGGGTCACATAGCATCAGCCCACGGCTGATGGTTTGGAAATTCTGATCCAGAAGGTGGACCCCTCCCACCTACTGGTCTACCAACACCACTCCCAGCAAGCTGGATTTCCTTGGAAGTTTCCCATCCCCGAGCTGACCAGCTGCTTGCTTAGCATCTGAGACCTGAGAAAATCAGGCAGCAAGGCGGCAATGCCACAGTCCATGACGTTTATAAGGAAAGTTGGGTTGGGTGACAGAAGCCAAGTTCACTCGGCCTCAGCTGTAAGTAATTTGATTCAGTCCCGATGATCTTTCTTCAACTACAAAATTATAAATACTGAAAGTGACCTCCCTTCTCTCCCTAGGATATGTGTTTTCCGTCAATCCCCCACCCCATGTCCACCTCTGCAGCTGCCCCTTGGTCACTCCTCACTCCGCAGGAGTGTCCCAGCCTCCTCGTCCTCTGACCAGGAGGTAAACCTTCACCCCAGCAGGTTAAGACACATCTACTGTGACTAAAACACTCAATAAACCTTTCAATATGCTTCATTCCTGGGTGTTGTTATTCCTGGTGAAGAGGTGCAATTGATCAGAGTCAGATGAATTCCATTTTCTGTCCTGGAATCAGAAAGACATGTTGCTTTGGTTTTCAGCGTCAAGAAAGCCACGGTGAATCTGCAGCATTTAGGAGAATACAAAGAATTCAAGAATTTGCCAATAGTGCTAAAACATGGCTTTGTTGGTCTTTAAGAGAATGGATGATGTAACTTATAATGATCTGTGCTCTTCACTCATTTCACCCTAGAGCCTTTCTTGTTTTTGAAGGAGTCAGATGAGCAAAAGGAATCTCGCGTAAATTTATTCAAGTCAAATGCTGTGTGTATTTTGTTATAACATCCCAGATGGCAGTATGGAAGGGACATTGGCTCATGTTAATATTTTGAAGAACCAACAATCGACCAGCAATTGTACCCACAAAGTCAATTCAAAGATTAAAACACATGAAATCGGTCAACTGTGGTATTCTACAATTGCAATAAAAATGCAGAACGAAATAATAATTCTTATTTTACCGCAATTGATACGTTAAGTTGAGACATTTCATGTGTGGTTTGCAAAAAATGTTCACGGCTTTTAGGTTCTTTATTTCTTCAATAATTGACCGTTTTTAGAGAGATAAGTATTCCAAAACACAAGCATTTAATTTTATAACGTTCCGCAATAAAAAATCATTAAGATCCAAATGGAAAATGTCTACAATCATTTAGCATTTATCAACTTGAATATTTTAGGATAAGTAAGAGTGTTGTTTTTGTATTATTTCACAGGGAAGAGAGCAGAACAGATACAGCTGGTCACATCAATAGCTAACCCTGTCTGCCTCTTTTGTTAGGATGGATATTTGCAAGAATACGCCGGAGTGTTTGGAGAGTCATTTAAACATGTGATCAGAAAAAGCAATGGGATGAACCCATTGTGCTGTTAATGAGACTGTTTTCTTGGCACTGAGGAGATTTCACATTTTGTGCCATTTTTATTTGCACACCAATTTCTGATGATTTTGTTGTGTGCTTTTGTATTTTCTGGCATTCTGCAATAATTAGAAGTGGTAAGATTAATTCCAAAAACAGGCACCCTCCTGTTGTTTAAAACATCTTTAAAATCAGTTTATTCTTTAACTTAATATTACCAATTGCCCATGTCAGAATGATCAGTTCTGAACAGTAATATTCTGAACAGTGAATACTTTGTAATGAGCGGGCTCCGGCAAAGTTTCAGGCAACTAAAAAAAACAGTAAATCTGTTACTTTAGAGGTGTAATATTCTTCTTTTAGAGAGGAAAATACTACTACCATTTTTTAATTTCATATCATCTGTACACTTACTTGAATACTTAATATTTTAAATACATATTGCTTTAAATGTCCATGCACCATTTTGAAAGCAATAATAAAATATAACTTGTAAAAGGACCATTTTCACCACTCCATAAATAAGAGTAAATGCCACAGTTCTGGTTTTCTGCAGATAACAAAAAGTATTTAAATTTATGGAAAACATGTTGTAAATGAGTACTAAACTGCAGCGATCTTTGCACCAATAAAATCCAAATAATTTTAGTTTATAAAACCTAATGATCTGTGCTGTTGACTTTCAAAGTAACACAATTTGAATGAAAATCCCATGTATTAACGTTATTTCTTGTGTCAATCTTCTAGCATGCTAAGCGCCTGCTTTTAAGTGCATGATTTATCTCATTAGGTTTTAAAGCTTTAAACATTTTTCAGGGTCAGTGACTGTGCAAGGGAGTGCTTTTTAAATGAGACATGATCTACAGTACATGAGAGGAATATATACTGCGTACAATTTAACTGGGAAACAATTACAATCACAATTATTTCTAATTATTATGTTTAATTATTACTAAAACACTTACAATTTTTAAAGCCCACAGACATACTGTATCCTACAGACATTCTTGTGTTTTCAGACATACTTCATCACTGTTTCAACCTTCAAGTGGGTGGATCCATTAAGCCTTTGTAGTTAGCATGCTTCTATCAGTTTTCAGCCTGACTAGCAAAGTGTGAGCATGTAACGTCTGTTCTGTGCACCTTCTTTCTTCTGTCTCCAGATAAACAACTGCTAAGGACAGACTCCAGAGACATGGATAAGAGCACAGCAGGTAATGCATTCAATCAATTCTGTAAAGGACATTGAAATGAGCTTGTGAAAAACCCAGAATATCGATTTCCAGGGTTTAGCTTGGTTCTTTTAAACTCTGTCTTTTTTTGGTTTGTAACTCAGTGGAAACTTTTTCAAAGAAAAGTCAACTGTTATGTTTGGAGTATCTAAAAACGAATCAGAAAAGAATGGCGTTTATATAAGCATGTCAGAGAGGATTTTGTTCTAGTGTTTTACATGCTTCTTTTCAAATGTGATTATTATTATTATTATATTATTATTATTATTATTATTATTATTACAGCATTAGAGTAACAGTAGTTGTTGTTATTCATTCTGAAAGTCAGAAAGATACTGTTTCAAGGAGTGATAGTTATACAGTATGTGCTTCATGACAAAACTGTCAGAAAACCACTTGGAGATTATATACAGCATAAGTAAATGGTGCATTTAAACTAACTCAATGTATCTGTTCAGATTCAGGGCTTGAAAAACAAGAACTTTGTATTTTTTTATTGTGATCTTTGAGATATTATTATAATCAGGAACAAAGAAAAACAACATTGTGCACAATGTTAATATCAACAGCTTGAAACAGCTGAGGTTTAAAGTTCAAATTGTGTATGTAGAGATGAATAATTTTAAACTGTGTTTTTATGAATTTCGATAAGAATGCAAATGTAGAAAGATCTACACAACATAATATAATATTCCAAATAGAAATGGATGGAAAACCACAATTCATCTCTGAACTGTTGTTGTTTTCTATAAAGCAGGCATATTAAATATACTAGAGAGTGTGACTTTAAAGTGGTAATTTCTCACTTTTTACAAACTGGCAGTAACTGAAACGGGCTGTGATGCAGGAGTAGATTGTACATAGTGATTAAAAATGGAGATACTGTATCTGATTAAAGAAAACACTCCCTTGCACTAATTAATGCAAACAAAACAACATAATTAAAGATGCTAATTAAACAAAAACTATAGTCTTTGGTCAAAGAAAAATAGAAAGCGCAGCCAAATGAATTCAGTGCTGAACAGCCTTTTTCTGCTTAGAAAGATAAATACTGTATGTTTCTACTGATTACGTAACACTTTGAACCTAAAAGAAAAGGGATCCTGATTGTCTTTTAAAAATCGGAACAGTTACATTTTTATCAAATACCTGCAAACTGTGTGCGCAAAACCTTATTTTTTTCGTCCCTAAAATGAACTGGCCAACGCACCCTTGAATGCAAATGAGGAAAGGTCCACTTATCAGTCAGTTTGGGTCAGATCTTTTGACTCTATGAACTTAAAAATGACACATATCTGACGTACAGTAATCTGAGCCGTCACAGGATAGCTAAGAGGTCTGGTTTATCATAACTGGTTTCAGTGGATGTCTTGCCGGCTAGCAAGGGTAGATGTGACTTTTGTATGCCATACAGGTTAAAAGGTTAAAGGAACTAAATCTCTTTAATCTAGAGCAAAGAAGATGAAGAGGAGATTTGGTCCAGTTATTAAAAGATCTACTGGGTATAGATAAAGTCAATTCAATGGACTATTTCATGCTCAGTAGTGAAAGGATAAAACTGGAAATGAAATGAATAGGAAACACTTCTTTACACAAAGAGTTATGGGTCTCTGTAACACCCTTCCTATCCAGGTGCTTGAGATACACACCCCTTTACAAGACAGCTGGATGAAAATGTAGATTCGCTTATTTACTTCCAAACAAGTGAGATTTACCAAATGGTCTTTAATTTTCAGCCTGTCTTAAGTTCTTTAAATAACATTTATGAAGGGGGGACTGCCACCAAATGGGGACAAATGAAATACTGACCCTCCCCCAGCCATTTAAACTGTGCTGTATTTTTGATGAGTTAATGGTAAGCTAAATGTAGTTGCAACAGAAAAATAAACTACCTCACAAACAAGATGGGGATGAATGATCTCCTCTTGTTTGCCTCTGTTCTAGTGCTCTTGTGTTTTAATGCCTGTGGTAAGAGTTACACCACACAGTCTCCTTCCAGATTGCTCTAAACCAAGGGTAGAGGAGACCTTCGACTAACAGCATTGCGCAACGCAACAGTGAGAAAAAAAAAGAGACAAATTTCCAGTTCAGAGATGCTATAATTGTTTAAATCATATGTAAATCGATTTTTAATCAGCCTTATCAAAAGGCTTATCTGTATTGCACCATAACCTGAGTGGATCTTGGCTCAAAACACAAAACAAAACGAAACAAAAGAAACACCTACAGGCTCTTGGTGTTAATCGGACAGTAATAGACCTTGCACACAAATTGCACCCAGCATGTCTTTAACTTCCTGCAGGTGACTCATTGCTTGAAGTGGTCATTTAGAGTTCTAAAATAGCCCCCCTCTTCCCTTTCCATTCACTATGTAAATGTTACTAAAATGCTGTCAACGGAATTGCCCAGTGTGTTAAAATAAGGAAATGCTACACCGGCTTCAGTGGTGGTAAAGGTTATGTCACAACAGAGCTCAAGAAAACAAGCCTTTTCCTATTGATGATAGAATAGCTTTAAATTCGAATAGCACATTTCGATTTCAGTTCATTAATAATCACTTTTAATAATTGCATGACCCAAAACTTAATTCATCGTCACATTTGTGACATTTCAAAGGCTACATAATTCCATTACTGCAGTAACTACAAATTGTAAGGGATATAAACTATACCACTGTTGTGCTGCACTGCACTTCGAGACGATCAAAGACAATAGTCACATATTTGAATTAATGGAACAGAGGATGGGGTATAGGTGTCATCCTTTTGTACATTATTTTATTGAAGCTGAATGCTAATTCAGTGTTGATTTTCAATGTTGACGTCTTGGTATCGGCATGAAGCTGTTCATGTCATTGTATTATAACATTTTCCACTTTATTGTCTTATACAAGAATTTCTTTGCATGTGTGATTTACAATCATGCAGATGTGTGTTCCTCACCCTCTCTGATCCATTTAGTTATACATTGCCAGGAAATCAAGACACGTATTTTGACATGAGCTGACAGCAAACCTTTTCCAACTCGAGAGGCATGCCATTTCCTGTTTTTAATGCATTTGACAGATTTGTTGGCTGCGTTCCTATTCCTCTTTTAATGTTTCCAAATAAATTTCAAGATAAGCTACACAAGCTGTGATTGAACACTTAGTTAAATTCTTTGCTTCAAACTATGCGAAATATGCAACATTTTGGGAAAATGTCCTTTCTTGTTGAAGATGCAGCTCTGCCTGTTTAGTGAGATTGTCAGACACAATCTTTCCATAAATGGCATTCATTGTGAATGAGGGTGGAGGGGGGGCAAAATGTGAGCTTTCTTGTTAAGCACATACAGCTTATAAATAATCTTGTCAGTACAAAGGTCCTGGGTCTTTTCATATTACTTTTCATTTCATTGATAGCCGTTTCATGTAAAGTAGCTTTGCCATTGAAAAGGCTAATTTGAGATCTGTGGCAAACAAAGCGAAAATATAGGAAAAGCCGAAACTCGAATGAACAAAGTGAGACTGAGATACCAATTGAAGGGTGAAGAAGAAAGCTCAGGGTTTCTTTTACACTTACAGTAGAAGTGCTCACATCCTGTAGCTGAAATGGATGCTTGTCTGTAGTTGGGTTTTCTGACCAAACCAAATCACGACATGCTGTGTTTAATTAGATTAGTTATTGAGCTCTCCCGAAAAAGGTGCTTTGAACTATTGGTTATGTGTTATGTGTGTAGCCCTTGATACAGTTGTGCATTTGGGGGAAGCGTCGTCTTTTTTCTTTGAACAGAAAATAATCATAGGCACATAAACTAAACCACTGTAATTTCAACTTTTTAGCAAGATAAAACAACAATAATTTCAGGTGACAATTTTCTTTTCAGTGATATTTTGTTTTGTAATAAACAACCCAGGCAATCAGCCCACCACAGATATGTTTTTTTTTACGGCATATTTTTGGAACCTGAGCAAATGATACCAACCAAATAAAAACCTGTCTCTGAAAAACGTTTTTTTATTTCGTATTCCCCTGATAACCCTATTTTTGTCCTCCTGCGTGGCTGCTCTCGATTGGAGATTTTAATTTTCTACAAACCAGAATTAAATCGAGATTATTCCAAAAGAGCAGTCACATTCTTGGCTAAACACACCCATTACACATGACTCCAAAATAAAAAGAGAGAGGCTGTGTTCAAGGGTTTGTGTCATCTCTACCTGTCTGCTGTTAAAAATAAAAATCTTTTTTTTTCAGCCTACTGATTCTGTACAGCTGATGAAAATACGGTGTGTTATGGCTGTTAGACTTATTCTGCCTCCTAATGAAAGTATACCAACTGTCGACGGAAAAGGCTAAGATCATGGCAATGTATTTCTTATTCTGGAGCCTAATTCAACAGGACTATTTCTGGGACTGCAGCTGTTCTGCAGAGCTGGGTAAGTAGGATTAAAGGGTCCTTGTTAATTTATCTAATCTCAAAAGCACTAATATTATAGCAAATCGTAAGCAAATTAACAATAAACAATTGTGATTTTTAAAATTCAGAATTAACAGATCTCTTAAAGAGGACATATTTTTAAAACAAAATCCTACAAAGAGCCAAAAATAAAGTTTTCTTGCTTTGCTAAAATCTTTCAAAATATTGTTTGGCAAAAATACAAAGAAGAAAAAAGCAATATTGTTCTATATATGCCACATAAGTTGAGTTTGCAAACCAACAGTTTTAAACCATTGAAGTGGTTTGTGAGAAATATTGTAGAGCACAGTCCTGGTGGGTATGTTGGGAAACAGGCTGAATAAAATAGGTTTTACAGGTTTAAACATTAACCATTAATTCTGCACAGGCAATTTTTTTTAAAAAAGGGAGAGAAAATGAAACTGAACAGATTATTTCTATTTCTGCTTCGGACTTGTTTCCCTAAATGAGTCTTACATTAATTTTCCCAGCTTTTGTTCAAAGTGACAAAAGGCTTTTTAAAAACCTCCGTGTAGCTCCATCAGTTACTTAGCAACAGGAAGCTGCCACCTTTCGTGGAACTGGGGGAGAAAAAAGTGATTCCTCTTCACAGAACACTGTGAGTGTGCTGTGTGGACCTGTGTATTCGCAGGTAATATTCTCCAATGCTTGTGCTTGCTCAGAATGATTTTGGGATTGAGCAATATTTTGCACACCTGCCATTTATCCTAGGACTGTAACAGTTAAACTTTTTAAGGCTGCTTGGCAATTTTGGATGTGTGTACTAGACAGAACCAGTTTTGCGGAAAAAGCTGTTTATATGGAAAGCAAAACACAAAAAACATACATTTTCTTTCATATCCAACATTCTTGCATCCAATATCAGTAAGCCGTTTATTCCGGTCAGAACAGAGGCAAGCCAAAGTTTATTCCAGAAAAACAGGGTGCACTGTGGGATTAATAGCGGCTTTCCCCTGAATGTCCGTCACTGGACGATGCAGAAAGGAAATGTTTGGAAAAGCGGATCACACCTAGTCAGTTGTCTTTGGAAAGTGAGAGGAAACCAGAACCTCCATCAGATATCCACCTAACACAGGGAAAACATGCAGATTCTACTTAGACAAATACCCGAGGCCAGAATCAAACCCCAGACCCTGGAGCTGTAACAAAGCAGCCCAAGAAAAGTAAAATCTGGGGTTCTCAAGCCCACTCTATTCTGACCTACTGACACTGACGTTTCTTTCTGCGTTAGTCTTCACGTCTCGTCCTGCAGACAGCCCAGCCATCCTGAACAGCTCTCTCACACTGCCCTGCACTGCGTATGACTCGCGGCATCACCGGGATCTGACCATCCGCTGGTTGAGAGGCTCGGGGGACCCGATAGATGACCTAGGTGTTTGGGTTCACCAGCTGGCCAATGGATCTCTGTTCTTCCCCAGCCTGCGAGAGGCAGATTTGGGGACCTACACCTGCCAGGCCAGCTCTGGTTCCTCTCTGGTCAACGCCACCATCCACATTTCCAAGGCCTGTATGTATGCATGACTTCCATGAGAGTATGTGGTTGGCCATTGATGGGCTGGCGAGCTCTCCATGAAGCTTTAAATAGCCTCACTAAAATATCAGACATCCTGTGGGATTCGAAGATCGAGTGTTATTTCATTCTCTTTTTTTTCTTAAGCCTAGTTTTAGATGATTTCCTGGCAGTGTAGCTAATTATCAGAATGACTGACAACATCTAGGTGACAGAAAATGGGAATCTGTGATTAAGACCACCTCATACAGGTGCTGCCTGTCAAAAGAAAACTCGGTCAACAGAGATCTTTAATTCAATCAGCTGAAGGGGAGCATATCACAGAGAAAGGGTTTCCCCTAGCACTCAAGACATGCTCGCTGGACTGAAGTTACACTTTCCTTTTTATACATTAAAAGTAAGCAAGACTTTAACATATCAAAGGAACATACAGGGAAAGGGGCAGTGTCAGAAGTCAAACACACAGGACAGGAAGATGCCATTTGGCATCCTGCAATCTGTTTCAATTCTCTCTGGTTGAACGAATCACAGGCTTTAGTTTGCAGAAAGACAGTGGTCTTAGGTGCGAACAGAAAACCTTTCCCCCGCATAGTCACTGTCTTGACCTCTTCACTTGGTCTTCCACATGCCTATCATGGGTAAAGAGGAAACTTGGCAGTCATACTGTACATAATTAGCACATACCTTGTAGAAGATAAGATCTATTCTTGTGTGTCAGATCCTTTTCCTTCTGGGCTATGTGTTAACTTATTTAGTTTGTCATTTTTTTTTTATTCTAGATTTTTAATTATTTCCGTCAATATTTCAATAATCCTGGGAGGAATGTTCTCAAATGGCAAATAAAAAAACTATCAACTGCCTGCTTAATTCTGTCTGCTTAATAGAATCATATGTATTGCTTAGAGCCTTTACTGAAGTTTATATGTATTATATTTATTGACTTTTTGTATTATAAGTCTAAATATAT